CCTCCCCCCCGGCCCTCCCTCTTCCCACCCCCCTCCCTCTGGGAATTGGATGGGGAGGAGGAGAGAATCCAGACTCTCCACGTCATCTTCTGCCCCCCCCCATCATGTTCCTTCTAACAACTGCCCAGGGGTGGGGAGGGCAGGAGAGGAGAGCGAGGAGTTCCCAGGCTCCATGTCTCCGCTCCACGAGAGCTGAAACTCACCCCCACCCCACCCCAGGGGATTCCAGAGTCAGTTAAAAATATATAGAGATATAGATATTTCTAGATACACTTTTACATCATTTCTGTCTCTCCAAACAAATAAATAATCAGCAAGAGAAGGTGCTTTAACTTCCTTCCTGTCCAAGGTGGGGAGGGTCAGTCTCGCTGCACTGGGGGCACTGGTGGGAGCAGGGGAGACGGTGTGTCCCACTGAGTGGGGGTCCTCCTGCCACTGTCCCTGAAAGCTGCGGGGACTTGGGGAGGGAGGGGCAGTGGATGACTCCAGTGGTTACTTTGGCAAATGCCCAGTTCTTCAGAGGGAGTGGGTGGTGGCATATTTGGCTTGTGAGGGAAGAAGAAATTAAGTTCCCCCTTGAGGTCTGGGTTCCCAGGCACCCATTCATCTGGCCAGCCAGGAGCCCCTACCCCCAAGCAAAACCTAGGGATACTGAATTGCAAAAAACGTCACATATTCATTCACAGACCGCCTCCTGCCCCCAGGGACAGAGAACACGCGCACACACACACACACTCATGCTCACACTCACACACATGGTAATCTAAAGCCAGGTTTGCCTTTCTGTGGCAGAGGGCAAAACTGGGAATATTGCACCGTGAACTGCCGGGGCCCCCGTCCCCACCCCGTGGTTAATGGTGGCCAAACCCCGCCAAGGAAGGTGGGCAGACTGATGGTGGCAATAGCCTGAGAAGAGAAGGCCAGTCACTCAACACTTGCTGAGCACCTGTCACTCACCCATTCAGCATTTACTGAGCACCTACTGTGTGCCAGGCACCGGGCAAGGCTCTAGGCACACACACAAGCCTAAGACGACACCCTGGCTTCTTAGATGGCCCAGCTCAAATCTCATCAATTCTCCAACTCCCCCCAGACACCCGCAGGGAGGAGGAAGGTTCTGCTCCCGCTCGGTTAAGCAGTGAGTCAGAAGGACCTCTACCCAGTTGAGGAAAGAGCTTCAGGGAGGAGGAAGAGGGGATCTGGGGGAGTGGGGAGGGTGGACTGCTGTGTGCACAGGAGAGGTTCCTGCGGGGAAGCCCTGCAGGGCAGAGCTAGGGCTGTAAGGAGAAGCAGAGGGCTGAGGCCCAACTGCCCCTATCTGCAGTGGAGATGCGTCAGGCTGCGGGTAAGAGCAGGAGGAGCAGCCAGAAGGGATGAGGGTCATGGAGCCGGAAGCCAGGGCTGTGTGGCTGCAACGGCCACCTGTCCCTCTGTAAACACACACCCAGCCACACGCAGACACGGAGGTGTCCTCAGAGCTCCAGACACTCGGAGGTTCAAGCTGACGCCCAGAAGGGCTCGAACACACAGAGGGACGCCCAGGCACAGGCACGCACGCACACACGCACACCAAAGGACACCCAGGCGCGGGCACGTATGCACACACGCACACACATGCACACCAAGGGACGCCCAGGCGCGGGCACGTATGCACAGGCACGCACGCACACACGCACACCAAGGGACACCCAGGCATGGGCACGTGTGCACACGCGCACACACACCAAGGGACACCCAGGCATGGGCACGTGTGCACACGCGCACATACACACACACCAAGGGACACCCAGGTGCGGGCACGTATGCACACACACACACCCACCAAGGGACACCCAGGCGCGGGCACGCATGCACCCACGCCACCAAGGGACACCCAGGCGCGGGCACGTATGCACACACGCACACACACACACCAAGGGACACCCAGGCGCGGGCACGTATGCACACACGCACACACACACACCAAGGGACACCCAGGAGTGGGCATACATGCACACGGATGCACACACAAACACCAAGGGACGCCCAGGTGTGGGCACGCACGCACACACGCACACACATGAACACAAAGGTATACCTAGGTGCAGGCACTCACACACGCACACACAAACACAAAGGTACACATGCATACGTGCACAGGCACACATGCATACACACACATGAACACGAAGGTACACCCAGGCGCAGGCACACACGCACGCACACACAAATACGAAGGTGCACCCAGGCGCAGGCACGCACACACACGTGCACACACACAAACACGAAGGTATACCCAGGCGCGGAGATACCAGAGGCCTTCGGGAACACTCAGGTGTATGCTCTCAGCCCTCTGCTTCTGGTTCCTTCCCTGCACCAAGTGGCAGAATACTGCAAGAGGCGGGGTCACAGAGGCGGGCAGTCACCTACCACCAAACCAGGCCTTGTCTAACTCTACTCTATTGGGGACACCCCTTGGGAGGGGCGCTGCACCCCGTGGGCAGAGGAGCTGCTGTGTGAAGGAGTGGGCGGGGGAGGGGGCGGCCCCCATCTCCCTGCCATGTCACCCCGTGCCGGCCTCTTGGGTGGGGGGTGGCCGGCAGGGTTTGATCTCTGCTGCAGCCCGAGGTCTCAGCCCTGGCCAGCAGCCCTCACAATGGAGGCAGCAGAGAGGGCATGAGGGGGCGAGGGGGGCAAGAACAACAGCAGAAGAATCTTGTCTGTACAGTACGGGCCGTTTGAGTCATTATTATTACAATATACTTTGACAAAAATAGAATCTCATTTCATATCAATACAACAACAACAACAAAAAAAACAGTTTCCTGGACTGTTACACCGCTAACGTTTTCCAAAGGTTGCTATTTACAATTACAGTAGCCAAGAGGGAAGGTAGGATGCGGCCTGGAGGCGATGGGACAGGAGGTAGCGAGACAGTGAGGGAGCCAAGAGCAGGGAGGTGGTGGGCGAGGAGCAGGAAGGAGGGCAGGGGCTGCAGAGGGCTGGGGAAGGTGGCCCTCCTGCCCACGCCCACAGGCCAGCCCCGTGTCCCTCTGGGTAACTGTGCTGGCAAGGCAGAGGAAGTCCCTCCCCACGCTTGCCCGTACTGCAAGGGTTCTGGCCCTCAGGCACGCCAGGGAAGCCACCTTGCTTGAGTTCCTCTCCCCAGCTCTCCCTGCACGGCGGCCAGCTTTCCAGAGCGAGTCCGCCAAGGGCCAGGGAGCTATTGCACTGTTTATCCTGGAGACGAGCTAGGAAGGCGAGGGGCCCACCCCCCCTGCCAGCCTCCTGCCCTCCTCAGCCCTCTCCTCCTGGCTTTGTCTCTCTCTCCAAATGTGCTTCCAGAGAGGACCCCCGCCCCTGCTCCCAGCCACACAGTCCTGGGCAGCCTTCCCGGCTCCAAGCTTAGCCAGCACCCACACGCCTTGGGGTGCAGACCCCAAGAGTTGGTGAGGGTGGCTGTGTGTGCACAGGGGCATGGAGGGCCAGGCTTGGGGTCGCTGCCCCACCACGTGCCTACAACCACGTGAACAGCCCAGAGCAGAGGCCCTTTCAGACCCTCTGCCTCACTGTCCCCTTGAAACACAAACCCACCCGCCAAGTCGACCAGGGCTTCAGTCTGCTGTCTGGGTTTTGTGTTGTTTGGTAGCTTTTTGGTTATTTCCCTCTCTGGGGGATGGGGTGGAGGCTCCACATGCAGGGCTCGGCGCCTGTCCTTTCCCACGGCCCGTCGGCCCCCACCCCCCTCCTGCAGCATATGTGTACAACGTGCAAAGTGTCCCCCCCTCCCCGCAAAAAAAAGAGAGGCCCCCAGCCAGAGAAAATGGTGGGGGGTGTAGAAAGAGGGGATGACAGCATCCTCCCTCTCCAAAGCGAGAATCCAAATTAAAAAAAATATAATAATAATAATAATAATATAATAATTATACACAAATGTAAAAGTCAACAGGACACGGAGCACAAGGAAGGAAGTGGGGTCGAGCGGGAGGAGCCCAGGACAGGGAGGCACGGGCGGAGAGATTGTCAACTCTTCATCAGGGAGGCTGAGAGGGGAGTGGGAATCGTCACTTTAATGTCTGTGAAGAGAGGAGACGGAGAAGGGGGTATGAGGGGGTGGCCCAGCTACAGGCGTACACCCCCCACCCCCTCTCCCCTCGGGCAGGGTTCTAGCGTCAGGGCCCGTGGTGTGGGGGGGAGTCTTCGAGCAGAGGACTGATGCTGGGAGGGGAACCTGGGCCTTTGGGGGCCGAGGGGTGTTGGTGCTGCCAGAAAGGGTTGGTGGAAGGGTTGGCCGGCCACAAGGCCTCTAGGTGGGACGGCAACAGGCTGGGGCACATGGGGCAGTCCCTGGGTGCGGCGGACACCGGCCGACAGGGGTGATGCTACAGTACCCAGGTATCGAGCCGCATCCTCTTCACGGCAGAGGCCCCGGCCCCGCCGACGGCGCCCGCGCGCCG